CAGGGTCAGTTGCAGATGGAGGCGGGGAAGGTACTTCTGTTAGAGCTGACTGCAGTCGTGCTGGAGGAGGAGGAGGAGGAGGAGGAGGTGGTGGGGATGGTAAAGCTAAGACATCTTTCTCTTTGCCTACTACAGCTACTGGAACACCTACACCTTGATCCTTCATTGCAGGAGAACCTTTCTTCAGGCAACTCTCTTCTGCCATCTCTAAAGGGCAAGAATCGGGCAAAAAAGGTTTAACTGTTGCACTGTGATGCACCAGCTTGAGAAATGGCGACACTTGAGGCGAAGAAGCAGTGGTTTCCTGGTTGGTTGTATCTGCCTTACCAGAGATTTGGAGGACAGTCTGCAGATCTTCCGCAATGAGCTTCTTATTCGCATCAGTTGAAGGAGAGAGTGCTGGTGAAGCGAGTGATTCAACATCTGAAACTGAAGACAGTCTGACTTTTGCATTATTGTCTAGCACAGCCTGCTTCACAATATTATGGATATTTTTTGGGCTAAAACCATGTAATCTAGGACTTGTTGCCACAATTTTATTGTGGTTCCCATCTGTCTTTTCTTGGACTGCATTTGCAATGGCTAAATGCTGAAGCATATTGCGTGTGGCATCTGTCTGATCCACCCAGTCAACTTGATTGAAAATCTCATGAACTTTGGAAAAAGCTTCTATAGGAAGACCGTCCTTCTCCTCCAAGAGTGAAAAATCCATCAAAGCAACGGAAGAGGCAGCATCCATCTCCGAGAAGAGAAGCTGTGCATAGAAAGTTCTCATCATGCGAATGTAGGTAGAATAAAGCAGCTAGCTATGCACTATATAAGACATGAAAACACACCTCAACCCTGAAGCCCTTTGGGAATCGTTCTTTTGCATCCCATAGAGTGTCAACTTCATCACGGTTAAGCATCAAAATATTTGATCTAATAAAGGCTGTGTTGAACACAACTCGGAACATCATAACCTCTTTTTCCATGTCATCATTCAAACTGAGGCACTCCACCACAACATCGCCTTGGACATGGCAATTGATGTCGATTTTAACTAGCTCACATTCGACCTGCAACAGGACAACACAGGCGTCCAGAAAATCAGAGACTGAACCAGACCATGTTGCAGATGCAGAGAAGAAGGCAAATACTAAAACCGGCCATCACCATGTGAAGAAAAAGAAAAGGAACCATCGTGGTTAGATCAACATCTCTCAGCAGCAAAGATAATAATATCTAATACGGAAAATTAGAGAGCATTGTGCTCGGCTGGGAACAATACCTGTTTGTACAGCCGCAAATGTTTCCCTTTCTTGGGAGCTGAGTACAAAAGTTTGGGAGCTTTATCAGCGGCAAGAAAAGGATCCTGTCCGTATATCCGGAAGATTGGACGACATCCTCCCTGTCCATCAAACTCGGGAATGAATCTCATAATAACACAGTCCATGGTAAGAGCTCTATCCAGGGGAGGCCATTCAGAGACCAAATTCCTTCTTGACACATATTGTAGATACCGTAACTGAGAAGGGATGGGGTTCAATGCTGAGAGCAAATGCAGAAGCTCCCGAGGAGCCTGCTTGTAGATCATGTCCAAGGTCTTGTACTCACCGCTGTACTGTTTCCGGTAAATAAGAAGGGCGGCTAACATGAAAGCTAAAACAGGCCAAGCACCACGTTCGCAATGCATTAGTAGCAAGTTATTCGGGCCAAGTGAAAGCCAACTTTCACTTGATCTGAGGAAATGGTGCATCACCTCCATAGACAACAACGGACAGCCTTCGTAGTGCCGAGGATAATCCATTATGGTCATGTCGTATTCGGATAAGACATCAGCCATCTGACTTCGAGTTCCCACTTCATGGAAATTAAACACGAGAAACGATGCTTCAGGGAAGTGTTCACGTAGTTGAGTGACAACCCCACCCATATAAACTTTGTAGTTGTCTTCTTCCCAAGCATCTGTAGAGAAGCAGCAATCGAACACTGCACAGACAGAGAGCATTGTTAAGCTAACCCTCAATATCTTCACATCAGACTACAGACATGATCACAGGAAAAGGGCCCTAAACTTCCGATATAAGCAGAGCGATCTTAGAACATAGAAAACCGATCCTAAAAAGCGCAATGTCTACAAGTATCGCTATATGAATGGAGATCGAGGATAAAGGTCCCAGTTTCCCACGAACGAATGAAAATCCTTCCCGATTCCAGAAATTCAAACCGACCAGAACAATCAACCTAACAGAGGATCCGAAGAAACTGACCGAACACTTGATCGCATATCTCGAGCAAACCATCGGGGGGTTTCCGGTAGAACAATTTGCGAAACAACGCCATTTATCGGATACCTCTGTACGCTTCGACCAACCAATCAGATCTTTGCCCTTATGCTTCTAAAGCTCCTGCCTTTGTAGGCTTTGGCTTGGACTCGAAGGAATCGAGACCCGTTTGAAACCGCAATTTCTGCTTTAGAGTCTGAACGGATCAGATGCCAAAAAAGAAAAAAAGAAAAACAGAACGTCCATCAGACGACTAATTGGTTTTAATACAATTAAATGTGTAGTCGCTGGTTGGCGCGCTTTGTGACGTGGATCCCACGATCTGCCGCCATCTATTCGACCGTGTCTCAGTCTGACACTTGTCTGCTTGCTTCAGACCGACACACCATCTCGGGCCCATTTCTTATGCAGGCCCGTTTTAGATGGATTGGGCTTTTGTATGTGACCCATAATAGACCGGTGGACTAATAACCTCTGGCCACGTCATTATTACCGCACTCGCGTTTTTTAATATAAAAATCAAGTGGCGGAGGTGACTTATTGGGTGTTTGGGATCTTTGTTAGGGTTTATCTCAGCTGCTCACTATCTCCTCTCTTCCCGAGAAAATCCTGATTTTTTGTTTGTTTTGATTCCTCCGTAGTTGCCGATGGAAGCTGTTATGAGTGGGGTGGAGTTTAGGATTCAGAGGGATCAGGATCCGCCCAACGGATCTTGCGCTGCTGCTTCTTCTTCTTCTTCCACCTCCGCTGTCTTTAGGAAGATCGAGTTTCATCCCGCCAGAAAACCCTTCAATGGCTTCTCCAATGGCGGTTCCGATTTCAAGATCGAGACGCTGAATCCTGCCTCCGCCAACAAACGTCCTGCCGCCGTCACGCCCCTCAAAAGACCAGATGCCTCCGAATTTTTCGAGATTGGGTTGGATCCCGAGCTCCGTATCGGTATCACCGTCCGCAAAATCGTGAGTTTTTCACATCATGTTATTTTTAGGCTTTGTGCAACTGTGTCGCAAATCATACTAGTGAAATTAGTCGCCGTTTTGATGGTTCAGCGAAAGATCTTCCCTGTTTGATCGTTAAGTTTTGAGATAAATTTTAAAAATGATTCCCAGGGCGCTGGTTTGGAGAATCTGGGGAATACGTGCTTTCTTAATTCGGTACTGCAATGTTTGACATACACCGAGCCTTTGGCTGCTTACCTGCAAAGCGCTGCGCATCAGAAGTCCTGTAGGTTGCTTTAATTTTGTCTCCTCTTGTCTAAAGCTTCTTCATTTTTCCTTCTACTCGACTTCTTTATAGTTAAACCTATGGCTGGCATAACATGAACACGGGAGAGAATAGCTATTCAGAAACATGTATTCTGTCTCAGTATCTCATATGTACCATTTCAAATGTTATGTGTAGGTCACGTTGCTGGGTTTTGTGCTTTATGTGCTATTCAGAAACATGTCAGAACTGCTCTACAAGCTACAGGCAGAATATTAGCACCTAAGGATTTGGTCTCAAACTTAAGATGTATGCTTCTCAGATTCATTTTTTTTAATTTGGTTCTAAGTTACAATGCTTTCACATTATTACTTGGCCTAATATGGATTCCAAACTGTTTAATTAGGCATATCCCGCAATTTCAGAAATTGTAGACAGGAGGATGCGCATGAGTACATGATCAATTTGCTTGAATGCATGCACAAGTGTTGTTTGCCTTCTGGTGTACCAAGTGAGTCTTTGGATGCCTATAAGAGCAGTTTGGTTCACAAAATTTTTGGTGGCCGCCTCCGCAGTCAGGTAAACCCATCTGGCTTTTAGAAAATATTGCATTTATTTAATTGTATTATGATACAATCCATCTGGAATCCTGGATTCTATCGGAATAAGTCTCTACTTCGAGAGACTGACATATCTCCTTGCTGGTACTTAGAGAGATCGACATATATCCTCGCTAGTATTTAGAGAGATCAGGGTATCTGATAGAACCCACCCATCCATAATGGGCCCAAGTAAGTCCCATGGCTCATGGGTAGAATTCACCCCAAAAGCTAGCTTGTTGGGAGAGGGGGCCCATGACCTTATATAGACTCAATTTTCCCCATATGTTTCAGATGTGGAACTTTAACAGTATCTCTTACTTCGGTACTTAGAGGGACTGAAAGACTGCCAATTAATCAAAACCCACTCAACTCACTTTATTACTCATTAAAAGATCCTCTTATTTAGAGGTACACAACCATAACAAGAATCCTTGTTCAATTCTATTCTACTCTAAACAGGAAATCTAATAGGTAAAACCAAAGCAACAGATAAAAAATCCAAGTAAATCTCTAATGTCAGCCATGTCTATCAATATCAAATTGACATTCGTGACATTCATGTCTTTCTTCATTATATTTTAGCTTACTGGGAAGAATCCTTGAACAGCCTGCTTTAACAACTTTTTATTGTATCAGGTGAAATGCACGCAATGTTCCCACTGCTCTGATACTTTTGATCCATTTCTTGATTTAAGTCTGGACATTGCGAGAGCAGATTCATTGCAGAAAGCGCTTTCTCACTTTACAGCTGTTGAGCTCCTAGATGATGGGGCAAAGATTTACCAATGTGAACGTTGCAAGCAGAAAGTTAAAGCTGTCAAACAGCTTACTGTTTCTAAAGCACCTTATGTTCTGACTATCCATTTTAAGCGATTTGAAGCACATCGATCAGAAAAAATTGACAAGAAAGTTCAGTTTGTCCCTACAATTGACATGAAACCGTTTGTTAGCGGTTCCTATGTAAGTAATTTTCTTGTGCAAGAAACTGCATGTATCTTACCTATTCTTAATCAGAGATCTCCACCTAATCATTTTTGTAAGTCAATTTTCATCCGGCACTTAACAGGAAGGTGATTTGAAGTACACCCTCTATGGTGTTCTTGTTCATTATGGTCGGAGCATTCATTCTGGTCATTACTCATGCTTCATTCGCACGGCAAGTGGGATGTGGTACTCCCTTGATGATAATAGGGTATGCAACTAACATTTGTAAAATTTGCAGCTCGCAAAGAGATGGTGTGATATTTTTCCTGTTTCAGTGAAATGCTCACTTTGGTTATCTGCCATTGGAAACAAACGGAAAAGAGGACTAAAGATAGTTAATTCCAATTTCCTCTTGACTTTATGTTACAGGTTAAACAGGTTGCTGAGAGGACTGTTTTTGACCAAAAGGCTTATATGTTATTCTATGTCCGTGATAGAAAAAATGCTGCACCAAAGAATGCGGCTGCAATAGTCCTGAAGGATAGCTCTAGAGGAAGCTTTGCCGCAAATAGTGCTTCTTCACTTTTCCCATCTAATTCAGGACAAGTAAATGGTTCGACAGACATTAAATCATGTATTCTAGATGCTTCTGCTGCCAGAACTCAGAAAGACAGTCACAGCATTTTGACAGTCACAGGAACCCTAAAGAAGGAAGCACCTTCTAAGCAAATTAATGATGTGGTGATGGCTAAATGCGTTACAGCGAAAGGGAATTCGAAGAATAAATGCACAGCTTCGACTGTATCCCCAGGGGAGATATTGAAACCCATGTCTCCCTTTTTGAATGGAATCATTACCACTCAAAATCTTGGAAACATGCCAATTTCTGGTGCCATGTCTGGGATCTGTATCGAGGAGAAGAATTCAGCGAGCAAATTGAATATGTCAGTTGATGTATCATACGCAGGCTGTCTTTCACATGAGACTTCACAGACAGTAAGTGCATTTTTTTTATCATTATGAATCAGCTCATTGCTTCTGGTGACTAGTATTATGTGTAGTTAACAAGACAATCCACCTGTCCAGGTTAATCTCCCTTCAGTATCCATCCCCCCGAATGTCACCAATATCAGAAATCCTGCAGTACGCTCATCTATGGAGGCCTCAGATGTAACTTTAGCTGGAAATTCCAGCAAAATGGCAAAGCCTCCAGAGAAGCCAGATTGTAATAACAGCCAGGTGAGCGTACTACTTTAGAAGTTTTGATGATGCATTGAGATGTTTTTAACTCGTCTCTCTACTGTTCTCCAGGTTGAGAGTGCAACAAGTTGTAATTCATTGAACAAAAAAGCTGCGCTAAATGATCAGAATTTGGCACAGCGATCAAATGAAACAGCAATCCCGTGTGACATGTCTACTGAGTCAGTGAAGATTTCAACTTCTGATAGAGTGAACATTGTCACTTCAAGAAAGATTCACAAGCCACACATGAAAAACATGTCCATGGGCTTAAAACTTTTTAAACTGGCTCTGGGTTTGTGTAAGAAGAAGAAGCATAAAAGGAGAAAACTAAGAGCCTCGGCAGTCAAGAATATCGCCGAAGAGCTTTTATCTCAGCAAAGAGCAGCAGATCAAGGGCCTTCAACTTCACAGGCAGCTAGCACAGTTTCATCTGGCTCCACTTGCTTTCTTGAGAAAGATAATAGTATTAGTGTCCAAGATACAAGTAAAAGTGATGCCACTGGTGATCTATTGATGGACAATGCAATTGGAGAACTCAAGGACAGAATTAATCAAAATGGTTCTGTTCTTGCATCGGAGAGGCAAGCCATTGGCAACTCTGTTGTGTCTGAAGCAAGCCAACGGGCCAAACGGAAGAGAGATTCTTCAAAAGACGGACAAGAAGTGAAGTCTGAGAAAGCAGCTCTGAGCATTCTGACACGGGGTTTGCCAGAGACCGTGGGTATGTGCCCTTGCCCATGAATTGTTTGGTCAAACTAGCAAGCTGCGGTCTTCATTTTTAACATTAAATGGATGGGGTTCCCGTTCCCACGCAAAGAAGTGCTAAAAGATATTTGGTTGTATCATTATTCATTGGCTTAATATTTTTATTGTCACAGTTGCAAAATGGGACGATCAAGAGCTACCTTATCGCATTACAAGATCGGAGAGTGAGAATGTCAATATCGGTTATGTAGCAGATGAGTGGTAAGTCACTGGTTGTGAGATGAATCTATGCTTTTGCCCTGAGTTTTTGGTAAGTCTCACCTGTTTTGTTCGGCAATGTCACAGGGATGAGGAATATGATAGAGGGAAGAGAAAGAAGGTAAAGAGCAATAAAGTGGATTTCGGAGGGCCAAATCAGTTCCAACTATTGGCGTCAAAGAAACTAAAGCAGTCTGCTGAGAGAAAGGCAAAGTGGAGGAGGCAACACATGAGAGAACCGTGAAGACAGTGTTCAGTGTGTGAAAACAGAAGCGGTGAGTGTGAATCTGATACTGGACCTGTCTTATGTTATAATCTTTTACAGGTATAAATATTTTTAACTCAGTGATGGACAAAGTATTCTTGACCAGTGGAAAAGAGAAGCAGAGATGTTGTGAAGCTCTCTTTTCCTCAGTCCAGTTTTGTGCTGTTAAGTTGTGATTTTGTCGACCCTCTCGTAGATTATGAAGATAAAGAGACTTTTGGCTGTCGTTTGTGTCGTGGGATTGGTGGTTCAACCTCTCTATTCATCAACATTGCTTGTCTCAAAGCATGATGTGCGATGTATATCTATATATAATTTCTAATGATACACTGAGTCGGGTGATTAGAATTATTCATAAAAGGAAACAGCTGCCCGGCCTCATTAGCAGCGTGCATTTTGTTAAAACTCGGTGTCTCGGGGGCGGGAGTAATGTGTTAGTTGTTATTCATTTGTGACATGTATGAGTATGATTTTCTTATACTCATTAGATCCAGGAGATTCAATTGAGCATCAAGACGTCGAATTGTTGGGTTTACACAAACTGTATTCAAGTAAACGTTTTTGGATTTAGTAAAATAAATAAATACGGGAATCCGCGAACCTGAATTATCATAGAATAAAATTATATTAATAAAAATATGAAAAATAAATGTAAAATCATGTATCAAATTTTTTTACGACCGAATAGGGGGGGGCAAACCTTGAGAATTTGTATATATTAACGGGCCTTGAACGTTATCGGCCGTTAGTGGATCTTAACAATTTTAATTATTTTGACAACTACCTCTTTAATAGCTTTAGGCCCAAACTAATACGTTGAAATAAACCGAGGAGAGCCCAATTGGATTGAACCCGACCAGGTTATATATTTACCGCCACCAACAAAAAAAGGGTAATATCTTTAAAATAGAAAAAAAATTAAAAACGTTGTTGATGTAGATGTGATATAATTAATATTTAAAAATCAAATCATATAATAGTTTTACGGGAAAATTAATCCAATTTTTTTTTTTTTTAAAAAAAGGGTAAAGTACTTGGTGTATATAGAGGTAGGAAAAAGAACAGTTAGAAGAAGGAGATGTAGTAAAACGAAACGGAAGTGTCTACAGTATAAACAATACACGAATGCGTTCACTACACAGGTCACAGCAAAGAAAGAAAGAAAGGAGAAAGGGATCAGAGAAGGAGATGGGAAGAAGAGAGGGAGAACCTGAAGCAAGAGGTGAGATGGTCGTTGGTGAGACCAGAAGCCTGCATGAAGGAGTAGACGACAGTAGGACTTGTGCTTCGGAACCCTCTCCTCACCAAATCCCGGCTAATGGCCTCTGCCTTTGGAGTTTTCACTGGCACTTGCCTCTGGTATCTGAACTTGCTCACTATTGGCTTGTTCTTCACGAAGCTCCATATGTACTTGTCAAATGATCCATATTCATCTATCACCTGCCACAACTATACCACTATGAGCCAAATCTGGTGATATTGCAGTATTGGAAAAAGACAAGTGCTTTTACACCTTTAATATTTGGCGTGCATTCTCAATGACGGCCCTTAGCTTAAGCTCTGACAACAAGGAACTTGCCGTGCTTCCTGGGCTGATAAGCTTCTTCTCGTTGATTTTTGAGACGGCAATGGGATCAAAATCAGCAAAAACTTCCCTGCGCCATCACACTTTTCATGTGGACGCAGAATGGTTTGATACTGGGGAAATGACAAATATACCGGGAATGCTAATAAGTACCTGAAGGTCTGCCTTTTGCTCAGAATTGTAGGCCATGTGTGCTCAGCCAATGCACCCGAAAGCACTAGAAGTTCAAACAACCTCCTGACCATATTAAACATGAAGATAAAACGATGAGGAATATTATCATTCATCAATTAGCTCTATATATCTTCTTACGTACTTGTCATCATGTACTGGCACACCCCATTCTTCATCGTGGAAAGCAGCATACCCCGGATCTGAATTTGGATGGATAGAAAACAAAAAAAGTAAATTAAAGATCAAGGTCTCAGTGCATAATCCAGCAAAAAGTAGGGTATGGAAAGAAGCTGCTTGGGCAAATTCGTTTATATCACATACAGACCTCCAAAGCATTCTAAAAGTGAGTGATACACAGAACAGCTATAACGTGTGCATGGGGAAATACGAAAGGATATAAAGTAGGATCGTAACACGTGCGGATCAAAAGGCCTTTCCAGATTCTTGAAAAATTTTGTCATTTGAATTTCACAAACTGGAGATGTAGATAGGAACAAGAAGCTGACCGGTATTCGGTGTCACCCAAGCGCATCTCTTCTTAGTCTCTGAACCACTAGATGGTGAATCTAAAGCACCATCAGAGACAACACTCCTTGGCTTCAAAGGGTATGCCTTACTTCGACTCCCAAGGCTATACGACCGAACCAATCGACCAGTTGATGCTCGGCTGTGGAATGAATCTGTCGAGGCATCAGAGGAACATGATGCGCTCAGTGACAGATTAGAATTCAAGAGTTGCTCATGCCTGCGCAAAAGGGAAGCCATGCTAAGAGGAGGGTGCTTCTGGGAGTGGGGAGAAGACGCAGTAACAGCAGGCGATGCATAAGATTCCGTCTCATCAGAGTCAGTGTACCCAGATGGAAAATTTTCAAACTTTCTTGGTGACTTGGACGATAAGGATTTACGCGTAGAGAAAGGACCAGCCTTGTTACCAGCAGGCCCCAGAATCGGCCTGGTCTCAGAGTCGGCCACATTCATAGATCTTACTCTTGTAGGAGCCCCAGACATGAGCTTCACAGGCGAAGCACTCAACTTAGCGTGATAACCGAGAGTCCCAAGGAGCAACAGCTTTCACGTCTCTAGGACCTTATTTCGGATCTTTACTGGCCCTTTATGAGCTCATGGCCTGAAGCCGTAGTGGAATATCAGACATTTTGTCCTCACAAGTAGGTTAAAAGAGCTAACAAAACAAAGTATCTCCTTCAACAACGATACCACCGCACCTGCCACCTACCACTGCTTCCACGGTGATAAAACCAGCATGCTTGGTTGCAACTGAGCGCCTCAATGCCCGCTTCCCAGAAATACTCTTTTCTCAAGCACCTAGACTCTAAGAGACAACAAGTAGAAGGTTAAATCAGGTCTAGGGTTCGACATACACAGGAAGCACAAAGAAGAAAGCAGAGCTTAAATTACTCGCGGCAAAATCAAGTAAAGCCTCCTCCAGACAGAGATTCCGGCCCGGGTTGCGGAGTAGGAGAGAAAAAGAGAGCACTTACCTCAAAAGAAAAGTAGGATTTGCAGAGGGAGTGGTCTTGAAAGACTCCCAAAGCTGACACATTTCCAAGCGAATCCCATGAATTTCCCCTCCCCGACGGGAAAATAGAGAGGGAAGTAGCCCAGAAAGCGAAGGGGGTTAAGAGAGGATCGATCTGCGCTCAAAGATTATGGATCAAGAGAGTGAGCATCCCCTTTTTTTCTGGGAATATTACTCAAATAAACGACTTGGGTCGCAGCAATTTCAGTGTACACCACCGAAAAAAAAAAAAAATTTGCGACCTTATTACGACTAATATATAACTAATATACAACTAAAATAAGAGTAGTTTATTAGTCGTAATAGGTTGTATATTAGTTATATATTAGTCGTAATAAGGTCGCAAATTTTTTTTTTTTTTTCGGTGGTGTACCCTGAAATTGCTGCGACCCAAGTGGGTTATTAGGGTTAAAACCCCTTTTTTTCTTTCGACATTAACCGGTTCTTGCCGGTAAACATCACCGGCTATACCCGTACCCTCTTCTCTTTTTCTTCCCGGACTTTTTTTGGACAGGGTTTAATGCCAAAACTAAATAAATAAACAAGGCCAAAAAAATCTTGGAGAGAAACAGACCGAATGTACTATACCCCGATTAAATAGAAGAGTGCAAATTAAATAAATCTAACAGCCATTGGTCTGGGATATAACCAAACATGAGTGGGAGGGAGAGAAGAGATGGAAGCAGGCAATGTTTGGCAATGAATACTCCCACCAAACGCCACAAAATGATTGCTCTCCCCCCCTCTTGTCATTATCTACAAACACAACTTCAAATATGCTACTGTGTGGATGACTTGTTCCTTCCATTCTCTCTTCGGTGGGCCCTTCCTTACTTGGGAAGCATGATCAAAATCTTAATCCATCCTCTCATCTGTCTTGTCAACTAGAGACATCCCATCTCCTTTCACGCACAAAAGCCCGAAGTGGAATGCCTATCACTTTGCTCTCGTCCCCCATCATCCTGCAATTGAACTCCTTCAGGTCTCTCCAGGACAATCAGTCTGCAATAATTCAGACACTGGAAATTCGCCAACAGATCAACGACAGAAACCAGAATGTCTCAGATATCAGGCTGAGGTACAATCTTCTCAACCACTTTGGAGAGGCGCCTCTGCTTTTGATCTCTTTCTCACCAGGCCCATCTAAACATACGCGATATATGGATTAAGACGACAAAGATAAAAGCGTGCAGGAAGGGATTGAAGTAAAGTTACTGGGCAAGCGGTATCATCTCCGGATTTTAGAGCTTACAAGAAGATATAATGCACCACCAAAGTAAAATATCATTTTAAGATATTTCTCTCTTTTTAAAACCCCAAAAGATCAACTTTCGGCTCTTATGTAACATCTTTGTTTGTAGAAGAACTACAATGAGGGTTTCTCAAACGGCCATCTCAGCTTCTTTGACACTCGAAGGAATTCCAACCTCTAATCTCATGGTTGGTTTATAAGTTTCTGGAACAGCCGCACCGGCCTGTACACATATCTCCACCACCGCAGGTGCTTGCCCATAGAAATTTCGCAGTTCACGCTGCAACGGCGGCCCGTTTATGTCAGGCAAATGCCAAACGTATCTGGTTGGTATCAAGTCATCAAGCACCGCAGACTGCCAACCATGCTGCCCATTGCGTTGCTGGTGCTTGTAAGCCCCGCAGTTCTGCGCCTTGTGTCCCGTTGGTCCAATGTGAACCTCGGGACAGTACCCACATACCCTCACTTTGTACATTCTCATCAGCTTCTTCGTTCCATTCCGCATTTCTTCCCATGCTCTTAACGTTTCCTCAGCCAGGAAGATGGTTTCTTCTTCACTAGAGGGGGCAACAGCTTCGGAATCAGGTAACTCCATCAACAATGGCATCGGAGGTGCCTGCGGTTCTGGGTCAGGCAGTTCACTTTCATCTGCATCAATGAACTCACTTTTCCCAATGCGGATTATCGGTTTTCTTCTCCTTTTTGCTGGAAACTCGTGTAGTTCAACACCAGCCTGAATACAGAGCTCAACTATGGCAGGAATTCTGGGAACTGAGAATCTCTCCTCGTGACGGATACGCTTACCAAGGCGGTCATAAAGGTGATAGGCCTCTAAAGGAATGATAACATCTTCAATGGCTGCTTTTGTCCATTCATGAAGTCCTTTCCTTTGGGAGGCTTTCTGCCCTTTACATGACTTAAAAGGGTGCCCATAAGGTCCAACATGAATTTCATTGCACCATCTGAGAGAATGCCCAATTACAATGCTATAGATTATAAGTACTGGAAATATTAGATTCATAAGTCTATGAACTGCTGAAGAACCAAGGGGAAGAGAATTACCCACAAGCATGAACGCGAACTACTTTCATGAGCCGTTTGAGATTGTTGATCAATCTGATTCTTGCATTGTATACTCTATAAGCAAGAGGCACAAGACTTTTCACAATCAATCCGTTTTTCGGAGGAGGGAGCGGTCGCTTAGGCTTGTCTTTGTTGTTCTTGACCCTTTCCCTGGCAGCTCGTCTCAGCTCCACAATTGGCACTGGAAAGGGTTTCTTCTCTCGTTTTGAGAACTGCCGGGGCAAATCCTCGTTTTGAGGATACTCGCTTCTAACTAGCACTGGAAGAGGCTGACATGTTTTGGTACGCAGAAGTGTAGATTTTAATGGAAGTCTGAACTCAATGCTGCTACTCTGTAGAACGTATGAACAGAAAGATTAAAAAACACAGCCGCAAAATATGCAAGTAGAAAATGCTCTATAACTCGACAAAGTATTGGCTAAAGATAAACTGTGAGTTGTAACATATGCTGATCAGCAACGGCAGAAGATACAGAATTTCTATGCAACTCGGGTTAACTCTATTATGCTTCGGTAGCCCAATTGAGAGGGAAACTAACCCGAAGAGAAGGAGAGAACCCCAAACCATAAAATGGGTTCAGAAGAACGAAAGGGCTGCTTTTAGGACGATATCCCGAGGATTGACCACCATCGTTCCCTGAGAAAAACACGAAACCGATCAACCGATTACAAAAAGTAGGCGCAAAGCAGAAAGCTCTTGTCAGGAGAAACTTACAGGAAATCGCGGAGGAGGAGATCGACATCGTCGAAAATGGAGGAAATTACACCATTGGCGGAGGATATCGAGATTTGGAGGCGAGCGAAGCGGGCTCGAAAGCACGGGCCCGTATTAAATTTATAGCTCAAAAGTTCATAAGAAAAAAAAAAAGACGACTAGGCATTCATCAACGTGAGATGGCCCATATTAAATCTATGGCTCAAGGGTCCATATAAAGGAATACGATTAGACGTGATATGGCCCATGGCCCAAGGGTTCATAAAAAGAAAGGCTTGCTCACGCATCAACAACATCAACAAAGGCCTGTCCATGTAAAGAGGATGGCCCATATTTAATTCATGATGAGCTAAACACAAGGTGCCATGGAAACACCCAATCAGGGGGCATCTAAACCAAAACGAAAAGGAAAAGCAAACTGATAACAAGACGGGCTCTGAAAAGGCGGGAACCACTGGTCAGGGGAGAAACGGTAGGAGGGGAAACGAGGCGGTGATGATGAGGAGCCAATACAACAACAACGAGCTTCTCTCCCTTCTTGCAACGCCCTTTTTCCCCGCTGATGAAATAGTAAGCACCTGACCTCTTTAGCTCTATCTTCGTCTTGCCGTCTTTGTACCCTCTGATCGGTTTTGATCTCTCGCATCTCTCGTAGTCTTCCTCTTCCACTTGCATCACCGAGTCCCTCTCCGCTTGGTACTTCCACACTGTCAAAGAAAAAACAAGTAATTGAACTTACAGAGGGAAAAAAAAAGCCAAGACGAGATTAAAGAAATTTCCCTGAGATTGATCAACTTACAGAGTGTGTCCCCGACTTTGAACCGTGTTCTCTCCGCCCAGCGATTTAGAGTTTGGTCTGCAGAATTTGGGGCCTTCCATGAATTTGGCTTGCCGCCGACCAAAATGTCCCTGGCTTCAGACAAGGATCCAAAGAACAGAACCAGAAGCACCATCAAAGAAGGCATTTCTGGACCTCTGCTTTGAAAACATTGGGAACCTGCCGGAATAAATAGAAGTGAATGCCACGAAGCAAACGTGACCATCGAAGCAATGCTCGTGAAATGCACAAGCTGCGTTTCGTTTACTCTGAAAAGTAAGGGCTCTGCAGTTCCACGCCATCAGATATAGATGGGTTGCGTGTGAATAGTGAAACCCCCCACTCTTCCTCAAATTACGTCAGCGTTTAAATACGGCTTTGTCCAGAACAAACCCAGCGCCAATATCTTTAAAAGCCTGATCCTTTTTCGTGCCCAATCAATTCAGATTTTATATGGTGTATGCGCCTAAATGGGCATCTACATTGCCAAGCAAGAATTGGGTTTCTTCGAGGCAGGTAATGTTCCCCCGCCAAACAAAAACACGACTAAAAGCATAAAAGAAGATCCTTTTCTACACCAAGCAGAGCAAATTATTTACCCATTTCCCACGATCACCTATTCTGCAGATAAGTCGCTTCCATCTTTCATCAGTGCGACTCCCAAACAATATGGTGTGATGTGGTGGTGTTTCCTCGGGAAAACCCTATCAACAAACGGGTGAACAAATCTAGAACACTGTTTCTTATGAACACGTGTCAGTCAATGTGTGTAACATTAAAAACACTTGGCATGCGATGAAGATTCGGTGACTCCTACAAATACACCCATTATTTGCCACCAAAACGTGTAGAGGAGAAGAAGATGGAAGGAGATGGAAGGGAATGGAGCGGCTTGGCGAGGGAGATGATGGTGAACATATTGTCGAGGCTTACGTTGGAGGAGCGATGGAAGGGTCCGATGTTTGTCTGCAAATCGTGGCTTCTGGCCTCCCGAGACCCCTTCCTCTTCTCCGTCTTTGATTTGGAGCCATTCTTCGGATCCCACTCATCATCATCATCTCGCTTCTGGTCACCCGATTTCGAGCGTAGAATAGACTCCATGATCCGATCGGTGGTGGATTGGAGCAACGGTCGTCTCGCCGAGATTCGCCTGCGCCACTGCACCGACGCCTCCATCTCCTACGTCGCTGATAGGTATCTTTCGATTCCGATTTGAGAATTTTATTGCCAGATTGGGATCCAAAATCTTCTGTTTCAACGTGGACAGGTGTCCCGATCTTCAGATTCTGGCCACCAGAAGCTGTCCCAACATCACGGACGCATCCATGTCGAAGATCTCCTTTCGTTGCACAAAGCTTAAGGAGCTCGACATCAGCTACTGTCACGAGATCTCCCACCACACTCTGGTAGTGATTGGCACCAACTGCCCTAATCTCACCATTCTGAAAAGAAATCTTATGAGCCTCTCAGAAACGGGCAGTGCCCCTGCAGAGTACTTGGGAACTTGTCCACAAGACGGAGACGTAGAGGCAGAAGCCATAGGGGAACACATGCCCAACCTCCACCATTTAGAGATTGAATCCTCCAGACTAACCCTAAGGGGTCTCACTGCGATATGCGAGGGTTGTCGGAAGCTGGAGAATGTGGATTTGTCAGGGTGTGTCCATCTCTCGAGCCGGGACATTGAGAGCGCTGCGTCTATTCTCAAGAACCTTAGAGAGATGAAGAAACCAGATGTGTATATCCCAAGGCAGGGGATCGTTGCTGCGGCTCAGACAGAGAGGTACGGCCATTGGAGGCTGTATGACGAGAGGTTTGATGTTCAATCTCTCCGATTCTAAAATGTAATAATACGCAACAACAGCTCATCCTCCCATCATATGTATTTGTGTGTGTTGTGTTGTGGTGTTGGTGGTTCTTTTTTACAAAAAGTAGAAATTATGCCTGATTGAAGCATAGCACAATAAAGAAATCGATAGACAAATGAAAGATGCATAACAGAGAGCATGAAGCAATTGATCACCTTACCTTGCCTGCTTCATCACATGAGCGGCATAGAAAGGAACAAGGTTGACACATTCTCTATGCTTCTCATGTCTGGTTCTGATTACTGATGACATCATAGATGGGTTTTGGTTTTATTGTAAAAACCATTCGCTGACAGCATAACTTGGGAGTCAAAAGCTACAGGGTAAATGCTGAACCTGGAAAATGTGATTAAGGCGAAGCCAAGATTTTATCCAAGATGGACGAGTCGAGTTCCCGAGAAGATGAGATGTGGCCAACCCGTTTGGCCAATTCCCCGGTGACTCGATCCATGTAGAGCACATACAATCCGTTTCCGTCTTCCAAATCCGCCATTGCTTTCCTTGCATGAACCACTGATGCTACCCACTCCTCCAACACAGCTGTGTAATCCATGAATACAGAATCACAAATACTTATCAAAAGGAAAATAATAATGACCGGAAGCTTACCACCGCGCCACGCTGCTCTATTGTTAGGATCTCAAGAGAAATTAACTAGTAGCGGGGTTTACCGGTCTCAAATCCTAGCTCTTCTGACCATGGCAGCAAGTATTCGCATATCAGCATCTCAGTTAGTTGTATCCTGCGGTTCATCAGAGGTTACAGTCAAACTCCGTAATCCACCACGCACCATTAAAAACTTGGGATATACTTACAGTGTGAATAGGCACTCGTGCATCTCTGAAAACGACTCATCAAATGGATCCACAAAGAAGAGACTTTCTGCCAAGACACTTATCCTCTGAGACACTGCCAATAATGCGCGTTGTCCAATGTATGGTTGACTCCCCAGTTTGCGGACTAAGTGTTGTACATAGAACTGGAAACTTTTTTCAGGTTGTATCCCCTCTACAACAGATTGTGCAAGCAAACTATTAGGACATGTAAAGAGAGAAAAATCAAACTCAACTTGGTAGAGTTACCTTTTGCTTTTAAAGGAGAAGAGATTCTCGTGATCAATTTTGTAATCAAGTAACTGATAGATTCTTCAACAGATTCTGTGCCGTTCCCAGCTGCTAAGAGATTCTTCAGTGAAGCTTGAGGAAACATATATCAAAAGGGAAACCATTAATACAATGGGTAGGAGACCAATTCGAGTGCTGCGGTGATACTGAAATATTTATTCAAGTTAATCTAATGAGAGGAAAGCAAGCTATTGAACAAAGGAATTGTTGCTGAGAACTTCAAAGTGGAATCAGTAATCAAGAACATTGTCTAAAAATTACCTAATATTAAGTCTACAGCCTGGTGTGACCAGTTACTGAAGTTGGGGGTTTCCTGCAGAATAGAACCAACAGGTTCATCCCTGAAAAGCACGCAAGGGCGAGCATTATAGAGAGAGCTCGAGAGCAGCAAAGTCTAACATGGGAGTGCGCTTCACACAGTTCTACGAGAAATTCCACAGATATCCTTAACTGCTCTGCTTCATCTTTGTATTTCGTTTCTGCGGTCAAAGTCACGATTCAAATTTAGAAAAAGAAAGAAGAAAAGAAGTTGCAATCCCAGATTATAGGCCTATGGTGGTGCACTGTGTCTTTCTTTCCTGCCCTTTGTATTACGTGGCACACTATCCATATATATCAGATCAAATCCAGGGCACGGCAGCATACAAGTTGCTGCATTAAACATAGGAAACAGGGACAGTGGCAGATGGTTCTTATCAAAACCTGAGAAACGCAATCTTTGAGACGAGCGAGGCGTTTTCCTTCTGCACTTGGCCCTCGCTGGAGAGAAGAAAACAAAGCAAGCTAATAAGTGAAGCATGCGGTGGTTTATTCTAGAGATGCAAGATCAAGCGTGAGAAAGAGAGACCTAGTTTGAGAAATCGACGACGTAGTACATCGTTGAATCTGAGTTCAGAGGTCCCTCTAATTGGGCGAGGGTTTAAGTCTCCCAAGTTATCGAAGAAATAACACTTGCAAGAGGCCGTTTGGGGGAGGAAATCACAAGGCGAAGCATCTAAACCACGCAGCGAACACATTCAGAGAAATACCAATCTAATCCAGAAACCTTACGTTTTTCAAAATAGATGAACTAACTTTCGGTCTCCTTGAGGTCTTCCCGTAGTCTGATGATTTCCCGCTTCCTCTCTTTGGCCTAAACTCAAAACCATGAGAAAACGCAATCTAGACATGAACAGAAGCGCAGAAACCCTTGATAACTGGACTTACATCTTAAACTGAAAATTTTCACGCTAGGGAATTGAAATTCTTCTATTCCCAAAAATAGAAACAGAGAAGGTACCTTGTGCTTCCAGCGGAAAGCATCGGCTTCAGATGGAACACCAGGGCGAGAAGAAGAAAGACGATTCAGGATCCTGGATCGTAGGAGAGAGACAGCGATTGCAAGCTTCAGGGGCTCCTCTGGGGAGGCTTCTGCTTCGACTCTCGAACACATTTTTTTTTCTTTCAAATTTCGATGAG